GGAATGTGAAGAAAAGTCCCTCTCATTACGACGTCCCATATAATCTTCAATACTACTGCCTATACTGATACTACTGCCTCTCCAGCAGACAAGCGTGACCCCTACCCCTTCTCCTCCTCCCCCCCCCTCCCCCTCCTCCTCTCCAATGTTCATTCCCCAGCCTTTATGGACACTGAATCCGCTCCTTGATGTGGTGTGCAGGCATTCCGGGAAACCTCTTCAGAGAAATGCGGCCCAGATATATGCAAGATGATCCTTGCCATAAGCGAGGTGAACGATTCCTCAACTGTTCCAAGTAAGCTCCAAGCGTTTCACGCTTCGGCGCCGGTGCCAAAACACTTTGAAGAGCCGCCTGTTAAGAACTTTTCAGGAAGATTTTGACTCCTTCAACCCGACCATCACACCGGTCAGCGTAAAACGCCTGCTACGTGCACTACTGGCGCCGGAAGTACCAGTAGCGCTGCTGCTCGTAGCGCAGGCTCGAGTACTTTGATGAAACATGATATTCACGAGGTCGGATTGTTCACGGGGTCGAACAACCCCGAAGACAAAGTTTTGGTCAAATCTATGAGAGAAGGAAAAAATTTTTTCAAGACTTGGGCCCCATTATACGAACAGTGGGCAGAAAGGTAAATAGTGATCATTATTGATCCAAATGGTAGCAGCTTTTTACTGTTTAGTACACTTCCTGTCCGCTGCGGATGAAGGGGCGCGTCAAGGGGCGACTGGGTGGCGCGACGCCAACCCGTTCTCCACTAGCTGTTGAGGCGAGCAAGCGACAATAATTAGTGGAAAGCGGGTGACGGCTCGCCAAACCTAGTCCCACCTACCCATAGCATCCGCAGCGAATGGGACTATATTTATGATCTCTTGTTGGTCTTCTGATGGTAGTTTGACAAGTTGAGCTAGCGTTTTTCAGCCGTCCGATCATCGAACTTCTATCGCAAAATACTCATATGCTACGGCAGGTCAAATTCATGAAGCCATAGAGGTTGCCCTCGAAGCACGGATACCATGGGAGAGAAAACCGTTGAAGTAAGTTAGTTTTTTGTTGATTGCAAGTGGGATGGTCCCATCTTCATTCTCAATTTATTTCCTCTTTTCCTCTTTCTCCTCGGAGCTTTTCTGCTCCTTTCGCATCACGTATTATTTTTGTGGGCACCAGCAGTTTTTTGGAGGGGTTGTCTTTCAGAGAACGAGCCGATATTCCTGCTGCATGCAGCCGACCTGGCTGCTGGGAAATATCGAATGAAGCTCAACGCGGCAACCATGCTTGGTCAGGGAAAGAACATCGTTCAGGTGCGTGCTGGCGAGCGCCGGAAAATCTTTCAACTCTACCTGTTACCTGATAATTTTTAGATATTTTTCCTGCTATCTTCTCGCCCCGGTTTACTCTTTACTATTCCGTCAGAGGGCATGATTCTCCACAGAAATCTGTCCCAAACGTATCTTTCAAATTACCCATGGTGGCATATTCTCAGCATACACGCTGGTCCAAGGTGTTGCGCGGGCTGCAGAGGCGCTTTCGTGTCAAACAGCTCCCAGAAGGGCTAGTTACTTCTATGGACAATTATAGCTGAATCTACCTCCAGGCACTAACTTCGATACAAATCTACCCAAATTTCCTTGAATGGAGTTTCAGTTCAGTGCTGGAGTTTCACTTCAGTGTGTAGTGCTGGAAACTGTTACTTCATACCCAGCCTCATGAGGAAAAACAGTAAGGCGCCCATAATCTCTTTTTTTTATTCTCTTCCTATGTTAGTGCATTGCAGGATCCGGCCTTTGCGTTGGGCGGGTTTCTCCTAATTATTTCACCATTTTTTGCACGATTCTGGTAACTCCATCTGTGCAATCAACTTTGTAGGAAGTGGATGGATATGCGTTTTCGGGGTCCAAAATAATGTTCTGGTAATTTTGAAACGTAAAAGAAATGCCAGCTGGACCTTACGAAACACGACGGAGAGGGAACATAGGTATGGCAGCGCTCGTATGCCCCGCGATCTCCAGTGTTTCAGAAAAATCGTGCGGGATTGTCGGAAGGAGGATGGAGGGGATTCAGGGAACAACATCATCTCCGCTCCTCTTCTTTTCGGTTTGTTTGTCATCATAGGGGTATGCGGCTGACGTAATTTTCTGGATCCGCCCACACGGCAATCCCGGACCGTGTTATTAATCCAGTTTTCGGTCATAGATGAAAGGCGATGAATTCGGCGTAATACGCTTTTTTTCTTCAAGCTGTTCATGCTGTTCTGGTCCTGAAAGTTATTTTCAGGCTGAAATAGACTCTGCCTGTGAGTTGATAGACTTCTTCCGGTTCAACTCCAAATTCGCCTTGGACTTGGACAAATATGAACCAATAAGTACTAAAATCAGTACCAATAAATTGGTCTACCGAGGTTTGGAGGTATCAAAAGTTTCGATCATGTGGGCGTTCCTGCTTTGTGAGTGGGCGTTCCCACTTTGTGGATGTAAAGAATCCTCGATTTGGGGAATCAGCCATCTAGGAGAATGCGCGACAGGTAGAAAAAATCAGCTGGTAGAATCGAATCGATTCGCATGTAAACCTTTGTCGCTGATTCTCCCGGATTCTCCACAGTCGCAAAGTATGAACGCTGCCTAGTTCTGATTGAACTTTTCTCATTGGAGGGTTTCGTTTTGGCCGTTGCACCATTCAACTTTACAGCGATTGGTGGAAACTTGGCGTCGTCACCCGTTTTGATGGTGAATACTATGATTTTCAAAGATCTTGGGCATTATATAGATGTAGAATACCTGACTCAGGGTAATGTTGTTCTATGGAAACCTTCTCGTACAGCGGTCCTCAGCAATTATGTCGTATATGAGGTGTTGGAGGAAGCCGGTAAGTTCATTTACGACCAGTGGTACTGCTCATTAACTGCAGTAATTTCGGCACTAACCGTAAGGCCTTCAGTAGCGGGAGACACGGAGACGCAACAAGATTAGGCCACGCCTGCTCTGGTCGTCTGGCGCCAGGGTACATCATCCTTGAGGAATGCGCGACAAGGGTTTTTGTTCTACTCCTTGCCGCAGTCATTTTTTGTCTGGAGGTCCAAGGTTAAGCCTGGACAGGGGAGAGAGAGGGGATCACTATTTCGATGAGAGGGAGAAAGCGAATGTCCCCCACCCGGAGTACAGCACGGTTGTGAGAATCCCATCGGGTTTCCTAATTGGGAGGGCCACACCTGACCTTAGGATTAATTTTCCCGAGCCACGGGGGATTTTTCCGATTGCTGCTTCCCTTTTCACACGTCCTGTCCAAAAGTCGGGGAGGACTTGGCAGGACGGTAGGTCGTGAGGGGGGACGCACTGCAAGAAAAAATATGTGTGGGGGCCCTACTGACAACCGCTGCGTCACCCATGCTGTATCTGTCCACTCCCGCCCCCTAATTAAATTTACTTGTGACCAAATCTTGCGGATGAGAGACTGCCTTATTTTTACCGCAGTATTTCAGGTGTTCCTCCGGGTGTGCTCTCATATCTCCCGTCCCGTGGAGCTGATTTTGGTCAAATCATCTTCAGCAAGTGACATTGAGGTACTTATTTTCCTTTGCTATCTTACACAGGCCATTCGCTGGCTGTCCCGGCGGGCCTGAAAAAAGTGGTTATCTAAGTGAACTTCGTAATTAAGTGCTGTCAACTTCACTGGCTCTGTGCCAACATTCCAAGAAATTTGGCGAAAAGTTGCTGAAAACCTCGACAAGTATATAACGTTTCCACGGCTCGTTGGAGGTGTGTGATCCCCTTCATTAACTTCCTTTCCTCTTTCTTTCGGTCACAGTTTTCGTTATATTGAAAGTTTTCCTTGTTTCCTGGTGTGGGTTAGGAGATCCGCGTTATGGCGTTGCAGGTAGTGTAAGGTGCGCGCATGCTGCGCAGGATGATTTGATTTAGTAAACGGAATTGCCGCACTATGTCTAATCACTTAACTAAGAAGTGTTCGTTTCTGCGAATCGCCACGACGCGGATCTCCTGACTCACATATGCTGGTCTTTCTGGCTATTCTCCGTTACGGAGTTGAAAAGGTGGAGTAGCCAAAGATGTCAACTTTCAACTTGTATGGGGTGCTGTAGTGAGCAATGGAGCGTGCTTTTGCTCCCCCCCACCCTCCGCCAGCAGTCAAAGTTTCTCCTTCGGAGCCGATAACTGGGTACTGAGACTTATGTTCGGAGGATAAAACGTTGCTGGCCTGGTACAGCTGTATTGTTGACTCACATGCATAGGAAGGCGTAGAATGGACCCGCTGCGACTGCGTTTTACGGTTAGATTAGAAAGTATACGGCGTGCTTCTTTCAGTACTGACACCGCTCCGTCGGTCGCGAAATATCAGCTGCCCACGAGCTGGCACACTCATTCTGTTCGCAATATCCTATCCAAAAAAGCTGACGATCCTGGGTGGAAGTGGAATTCGTGGCACATCCCAAAAGAAACTGATCAAAACCGGAAGCCATATCCATTATTTATCTTTCTCATCATTACATGCTGCATTCCAATTAGAAGCAAAGAAAAACAAACATTGGAAAGGAATACACTCCAAAGCACAGATGATCCGTTTCGCCCGGTATCGCAGACGAATCATCATTGTCTAGCCAACCCCCGGCTCGTCAGTGCGAGTTGATGACAGGGACAGGTTGAGGACATGGACTACAAAGGGGAGGAGTTAGACTGTTCTTCTGGACTCGACCAAGTTTTGTTCAGCCATATTGGTACCGAACTTACGGTATAATGGAGATGCCGGAATGGTTCTAATCCCTCAATTAAGGGTGCTAGCGCTTATCAGTTAGCTTATCAGTTCCGGGTTCGAGTCTCATCCCGGCTCCGACTTTTGCCAGTATCTCAGCATTCATGTGGTGAATATCCGTTACCTTTCATGAGGTATCGTGATGGTGCAGTGATTAGACTTCAAGAGCACTGGTTGTTTTGATACCACAAAAATGCCGAGTTTTGAGCAAAAGTCGTGATCCCAGGCGGGATTTGAAGGCTCGATGGCTGGGAGCGGGTGATCACTGCTAACGTCATTGGTGGAAGGACTGGGATAGGGCATTGATCACATTCTCCACCAATGACGTTGGCAGTAACGGCCCGCCCCCAGCCATCGTGCACACTGAATTTGAACGCACATATTCACGCTTTCCGAGCGAGTGCTCTATCTGTAACGCCACCAGAGCCGCCTCTTACCCTTTTGATTTGGGTCTTTTAAAGTTTAGTAATGGGAATTTCATACGATAAACATGGAGTATATGTAGCTTCAGTCACTCATGACGGGATATACCACTGCTTTCGGCGTTGATTGATTTGCGGTTGGGATGCGCTACGCATTCTACTTCCATTCACCATCACAGTGGCTGTTGAATTAGAATAGGCCTGCACACTGAATCGCGGGAGCCGGCCGATGTACAAGTCACCGTTTATATACTTGCACACGGATCTCGTACCATATTAACGGCCCCAGGTGGATAGGGTAGTCGGCTGGCTCGCAAAGAGTCTAACCCCGTATTAGGCGCGTGAGAAGTGGCGTCACTTTCCAGTGTGCCATCCACACCCGTTTCATCGATCCTCCTCGTTACTAATTCTGTAAATCATGGAGTATATGGTGTGGTAATGTAGTGCCAGAGTAGACGATTTATTACATGATGAATTCAGATTTTAGCACTTAAAAGCCTAATTTAAAGGAATCAGTGGGAACGAGATTTGTTTCAGAATGTGGCGGAAAGAATTTCCATTTCGTGCATCCTTCAGCAAACGCAGATGTGGTGGCTGCTTGTGAGTTTCCTCGAGAATTAACCGAGATTTTTGCCTATGAAGCCCCAGTATGACTAGGTGGGCGTCCAGCAAGCGTCAAGTGTGAAGGCGGGTTACTAGCTAAAGATATTTCAAATTGGAAGTCAGAGAAACAATACGGATAATCGCCGTGTTTGACTCGAGAGATTTCTGCCAGATAGCGTAGTAATTCATAACATATCCATAACTAGGAGTTTTCAGTGCAACGTTAAGAGCACGTAAGAACATTGGAGGTCCCCAGCAAGGGGGGGGGGGATGAGGGGAGGGGGGCTGGAGGGAAGAAGGTCGTTTTTGCCTCTGCAAAAGCTTTTACTAGTCGACTTTTCACAATTTTCCCGTTTCATGAGCGCTGTGTACCCTCCCCGCCCTCCCGCGCCCGCTCGACGGCAGTTTTTCAGGGGAAACTGGAAAACTTCTGGTAAAAACGGAAATGTGGTAAGAAATTGGAAAAGTTCAGAGAGATGGTAGAAGGATGGGAAGTGGTCAAAGTTGTGAGAGGGGGTGGGATGAGGTAAGTCGTACCAGATTAGAGGAGGAACTTTTGAAAAGGTGGTAGTTTGCTTTTGCGAAATTTTTTCTTCTACGGCAGGACGTGTTCTGGTTACGGTTTAACGACCATTACCGGCGCCGTCCTCGGAGACATAAAAACAGATAATCTCAGTCGATAGGTGAGTAGTATGCAGCTCGCGGCAGTCGCGCAAGCTTCCCTTCATAACTCTCCTACTATGACACGAATGCGAAAAACTCGTGGTGTATACAAATTTTGCTTTGAATTGGACACTTTTCGAATCAAATTGCCATTTTCAGTCCAAATGAGAGTTTTTCAAGCAAACCCATGAATTTTTTTCCACAAGCCTTGACGTTTCATAGCGGATGCAGAAAATGGCAAACTTGATTTTTATTCAATTTTGATGCTTTCGTCATAACTATATTAAATATAAATCTTTAAAATGAAGGGGGAGGGCTTCTCAGATTACATTGTACACATTGAACGCCTGTTCGCAGATACACCTCACCCATTTGATTCGAAAAACCGTGGGGATGGTTTGAAAAAGGCCCAATTTCTTTTGAAAAAAGACCTTTTCATCCGGAAAGTGCCCAGTTAGGATTCTTATGAATATCAGCTGTTCCATGACCTTACATCATCTTCAGGCACGGTTCGTTCCGCTTGGGAATACGGTGGTCAAAAATGCTCAGCATGTTCACGGCTATACGTCCGAAAAGTCGATGGCAAGAAATTTTCAAGAAAATTTCAGAGATTCACAAGCAAATTAAGATCGGCGATGTGAGTTTTAATCCTGTCCTAATCGGGGTCATACTGGCTACAATGAATGTTTGAGTAACTATGCGAGTTCTTTTTTTCAGGTACGAGACCCCTCGATTTTCTTTTCCGCTGTGATCGACAAGGGTTCCTATGATAACATCAAGAGCTATATAGGTATTCAATGACCAAAGTTTTGTTTTTGCGTGAATAATTATGAGAAGCATGTCAGATTATGCCAAGAGTGGCGCAGATGGAGCAGAAATTCTCCTTGGTGGGCACTGTGATGACAGCAAAGGATATTTCATTGATGCTACTCTCATAAAAACGACCAATGTGAAGAGCCGGCTGATAAGCGAAGTACCTCAACTTGGACTTAAAGACACATTTCGCGATTGCTGGGAAGGGCGCGGTCTCTTTTTTTGCGCAATGTGTTGCTCGGCCCGCATTCGGAAGGTAGTGCCAGTGTTCGATTGTTGTCGACAAGGGCGAGGCCTAGGGGTAAGTATTATCGAAGAGACGCCACCTATCCAAAGCGATGCCAGTAAGCCAGTTTTCCACTATTGTGGTTCGGCCTGCCAGCCTCGCAACAGTTGGCGAAGACATACAGCTATGCGCTTGGGCGCCGATTTCTGCTATTACCCAACAGCGTGGGGACTTCGGTGCCTTTGATCTGCGTCGCGGAATGTGTCTCTTCGAAGATTGCTGTTTTGACAGTTACAGTTCAGGAAATTTTCGGACCTATTCTCACAGTATATGTGTACGACGACGGCGATCTTGAACCTCTCCTGAGTTCTATAAAGGTTGGTCTGTCGTTATGTCATGTCACAGTTCTGGAGACGTTTGCCCTGAAGACAACAACAATGAATTACTGTCCACGGTGACCATATGGGCGGGGACAGAGAATCTTCGTGCCTTTCTCATTGGCTCGCCCCCTCCTTACTGCTACAGAAGATAAGTGATTTAGAAAGGTGCAGTGTTAGGCCTTGCTCCGCCTATACAATTAGCGTCGTCTGTGACTCGAAGTCAACACTGGAGCTCATGCGTGTGTTAGGGGATGCAGGTGCAGGTGATGCAGAAAAAATATCAAAATTCCGCAAAAAGCAAGTGGGCGTGGCCATGGAGGCGGAGCCTACATTGCCCAACTCTTAGAGAATGGGCGGCCATGTGTCGATGTCCAGTCGTTTTCAGTCAAAGTGTATGTGGGAAACAGCAAAAGACAAGAAAAGTCACAGAAGCAGAAGTTATGAAACAAGATTTGAAAATCTATGTCCGCGCTGACAAGTAGGCGTGGCCGTCGGGGCGGGGCTCGCAGTGGTGTCTGGCGTGATCTGGTTGATGAATTGCCCGGCTAATAAGTGTGGTGAATTTGATTTGGAAAGTGGTGATGAATTTGGTTTGAAAAGTGGTGAATTTGGTTTGGAAAGTGGTGAATTTGTATAAATGCCATTGAGTCTCTTTATAACTCGGCTGTTTTGACCCAGTTCCACGTTCGCGCAACGTCGTCGCTTCTTTCAGGATCACACTCCTTTCGGACTTACTGGCGCCGTCTTCGCAGAGGATAAGAACTTTTTGGATCAGTATGTTTACAACCCTTTTTTATTTCATATAAACACTCTCCATGTTGCTTTTCAATTGTTGAATTATCCAGTGGCGCTGATCGGCTTGAGAGGGTCATTTGGCACTTTTTCTAGTTGCACGATAATTAAAAGGTTACACATTGGTGGGACATGTAAACTCCAGTGAAGCTGTGTAGATGAGTGAGACACTTTGGTTTCAGGAATTCATAGGTCTCCACAGGGTAGCCTAAACTAGCTTAGCTGGATACCATTTGGTGCCCCTACCAAGCCGAACTGCGCCCTTATAGTTGAGATATTCAGTGCTCGTACTGTTCTGCGTGATGCGGTTGGAAACATGTACTTCAACGACAAGTCTACTGGAGCAGTTGTAGGACAGCAACCTTTCGGTGGAGCCCGTATGTCTGGTAAGCAAGTGTTATCTCTCTATTCTGAAGGGATTTCTTTCAGAAGTTTGACCCCTGGTTACTTTATCAGAAAGTTGCTGATTATGGAAAAACACTTTCCCTGCAAGACATCATCGAACTGAGGTAAAATTTCGGCTAAATGCAGCCTCCCTCCCTCCTCAAATTCCCTGAAGGGGAGGAAGGTTGCATATGGCCGAAATTTCGCGCAGCTCTATGTCATGCTACAATCTGCACAAGAAATTGTGATGGTATAGCAGTTTTGCGGTGCCGCCAACTAGGGAAGAGGGGGGGGGAATGTTGGAGTGTTGGTGACATGGCATGACATCTCCTAGGGACGAGCCAAGCTAGATCAAGGGCTGAGATCCTCATTTATTTTTTTACCATCTTGCTGGAGCGTTGAAGCTGGTCCGGTGTTCTGAGTTGGACCTCCGAAGCATAGTACCACCATCTCATGTCAAAACCATATCCCATAGCTATCTGAGAGGTAAATCTTCGGGGATAAAAGATCCGCCGGTCCGTAGGGTGTGTTTCTTTCGTCACGAAGAGTATGATAGGAGCACGAGAGATTTGTGACATGTCGAAGGCCTGGCCCGATTGCCTTGTTCTCCGCCCATTCACCCTCCCGCAAAATAGGGTTACGGTAGCCGACCACTGATGCCAAATTTAGATTGCCGAATTCTTCGATGTACTGTTGACTTTTCTTCAGGAACTAATGACAAAGCAGGAGGTCCTCACTATGGCCTCAGATGGACGTCTCCACTTACCATCAAAGAAACAAATGTCCCCCTTACTCAGTGGCGTTATCCATCAATGGATTGAATTATGTTCTGGAAAAAAACACTCAAAATTCATTCATTCTGACCATTGTTTAGCATATCGGCATGTTATTACAGTTTTTACTCGCGTCGTTTTGTCCTGCCCCTTATTGATCGAATTGTCACTTTGAATATTTTGGTAGATTTCTAGTCAATGATTTGGTCGATAGTATTTTTAGGTTTGCTAGTTTACAGTGCTTCTTTGTTTTCCGGCACAGTTCGGCTTGGTGGGTGCAGCAAATGGTAACGAACACTGGCCACCCTGTGAAGACCAGTAAAATCTTGTAGGCAAAATGGCGGTCTTGTACCATTTTCGGTTCACAAGAGTTTACAGGTCTCACCAAGATGAGACGTGTTATCATGAACAAGCAAAAAAGGCCAGCGGAAAGAATACATGCCCCTGCCAAGCCGAACAGCACGTTTTTCCCTCTCCAGTTGCTCCATGACTCTCAGATGGTGGTAAAGTTATAGTAACTAGGGATAAAACTTTTTTCACTTGTCTGTATTGTCTTATGGACCGCTATTGATAGATTCATTCATACGTAATTCATTATTCTGAAGTACTGACTAATTAATTGGAAAATGACGCTGCTGTAGTTGGTGGGGGAGGCGAGGTGGGGAAGAGGAGGGGGCCACAGAACGTCGGATCCGTAAAGATACTCCCACTGCGTCTTTGAATGGAGCTGGGGGTGAACTGATAGTCTGCTCTCTTTTTAGGCTGAGTCGTGGAAGGCGGGAAGACCACTGTGCCACCTCGTGCCCCCCACCTCCCGCTCAACTAGAGCAGCGCTTGGAAAATTTTTCTTGCATGGTTAGCGTTGATAGTTTCGAATAGTATGTTATTCGAGTGTGATTTTTATTCTGTTTGCAAGTCAAGTCTTTTCTGTACTTATAGTGGTCCCTTGGGACCCCCCACCCCTCGCCGCCAGTCGCAACGAGACTTTACTCGAGGTGCTGTTTGCTATATGATCACTTTTACTATATAGATGTGATTTCAACTCGGTCGTTTCTGGTGGAATATATTTGGGCCTTCACCAAAAAAAGTCTGTTTAACTATATTTACGGTATAGTCCACGCTGATGGAATGGGCGGAGGCAGACCACCCACCGATTGTTCCCTTCACCAAATAGAGGTCTTGTCCACGCTCTTTGTATGGGCAAGGTCAGATCGACCCATCAAAGCCCTTTGGTTGCCACGGCTTCCTCCTTTATTATAATTCGAACGAAGAGAGCGCACATCAATGGGGAGGACGTCTTATTAGCGACCTGACTGGCCGACCTACGCGATCAGTAAATGGGCCTTTACAATTGCCTTTCGGCTCTGGCGAACTTGAGCAAGCCCTTTTAAGTGGATTTGGCATCCGTCGAGATGAGAACTGGAGCCCAGTTGGATGTCGAACTGCTTTAGAGATTCTTCCAAAGAAGGGTTACATTGTGCTCATCGATCAGGGCTAAAGTCGAGGAACTGTTGGCAGGGAAGAGGATCAGAAGGAGAGATTGATTATCCTACAACCCCCCCCCTCTTCCCGTTCCCCAGTTCCCATTCCGGTGCACGGCATTTACTTTTTTTGAAGCCTGACTGATGTTTCCTTCACCACGGTTCAGTGCTATCCCTAGTGCAGTGATTGGTGCAACCTTTCTGCTGGGAAAACTGAGAATATTTGCTAGTCTCGGGTTTGCGGTGTTGGTTGATAAAAAGCCATTCTTTTCCAATAGACACAATTACACCCAACTATTTGTCATTCACCATCGGTCCAGATTTTTCTCCTCATTTCGAAGCAGCTCGCGCTGATAGAGGGGTGGAGTCGGGCGTGTCGCTGTCTCATCCTCATTGGTGCGCCATTTCCAAGTAAGACTGTACAGGGGAGACGCGCTCCAATGAAGAAGGCACAGCTGTCGATTTGGCTCCTTCCCCCTCCCCACACGATCAGCATTGTCCAATACAATTAACATAATGATTTTTTAAACAGTTCGCAAGCCAGAAAAGCGCAGTTTTCAGTTGTAGTGCTCTAGAGGAAGCGCGCACTGTCCATCAGAATAACTCAAAGGCTATTCAATACTGCAAAACCTGGAGGAAGGGTTTCAATACTTGATCATTTTCAATACGATTTACCCTTATTTCGACGACCACTTATTCGGCTTGGTGGGGGCACTGAAACCGAATGGTACTCACCGAAAATAGTACACATCACCTTGTGAAGACCTATGAACTCTCGTAACTGAAGTGGCTCACTTATACTCAACAAACATTCCAGTTCAATGAGACTCTTTACAGGTCTCACCAAACTGAGACCTGTTAGGCAACATGAACTGTCAAAAGGGACAAGACAACGTGCAAAAAGCCCCCCCCCTTCCCTAGGTCGAACACCGCCGCGCCGGCCGTTCAGTATTTTATTCACTCAGACAAGTTTACTACCTATACCTATTTTACCTATTTTCCGATCAATGAAAGGCTTGGCCGCCCCGGGCAGGAATGAATCCCATGCCTGACACCAAATCGTGGGCGTTCTAAACACAACCGTTTGCTCCTATACCGCTTCCGCTCAGAAGATACAATATTATCAAAAAGAATTTTCACAGGAATGATGTGCCTACACTTCAGAAGCTCCTACAAATGTTCACAATCCGGAAGACGGGCCGTAATATTCGCGGGATGAAGTAAGACCAAATGGGAGGCTCGATGCCTCGGAGTTGCAGAAGTCGTTCTGTAGCTTACGGTACTGTAATGCAACGAAGACGTGCATTGGTCGTAAAATGTTGGAGACGTTGGAGTTGGAGGAAGTGGAGGTGGAAAACTTGAGAGACAAAAGGACACTGGACAGTGCTCAGAGGACAAAATGCTACACGTAGGTTTTTCGACAATTTAGTAGCGACGTAAATGGAGATATCTGGCAATGATAAGGCAGCGATCAGACTTTGCGATATCGCGCGTCCATCCGCGTTACAGTGGGTTACAGCGCGTCGACGCGAAGTCTGAGCGGTGGCTATCTTGCGGGGAGGGGTATACATAGGACCTTTGGCGCAAAACTGAAACCAGCGCCGTCCGAATAGAATTGCAGCACTCGAAACTGGTTCACCTACTCTGGATCTTCTCCATTCAGGCTCAGGCTTTGCAACGATGTTGCGTGCGCGGCTTTAGCACCAGGACCTAAATGATTTTACATGGGAAAGTTGCGTTGTGTTGAGTCAACTAGCTAGAAAATCGTCCTTTGTTCGTGTCGCCGTGGAAATTGAAGACTCACATCCATAAATGGTATAGTACCCAGATTTGTAGAGTTCATATCTAAGGGCATCAAAGAGGTGTGGCTGCGATCGCGTACGCGTACAAAGAATAGGAAAACATGTCGATCGGTTAGGAAAGGGTAAAATCCCACTCCCTCCTGAAGTCCTCACCCCCTCACCGCGCTGAGGTGTTCCTTTAGAAATAAACCAAATACGATTGCATCACTAATATAATGGAGCAATGTTCAAATCTCACAGCTAACAGGATCGAGACTAACTCTGGCCTCTGCGTTTGGCCAATAGTTTATCGGGTCACGCCCATCCAGCGATGCGCGTCCACGACGCTGGATGGGCGTGGCCGACAAAAACTATTGCCTAAACCCAGAGGCCGAGTTAGTTCGATCTTTATTCTGGTAATCCCAATTTAATGCTCATAGGATAACGACAAAAATGGTCCCTCCAGATAATAGGTAAACCACCCCAAACACACTAGTTTCTCCTGTCAGACAGTCTTTCGTCATTACAAAAGAAGGCCTTAGAATGCCCCTCCCAAAGGTAACTAGAACCCAATCGCCTCTCGCAACAACCCAAATACAACCCCATCCTCGCTCATGATTTCTCAACCATCGCACGACCTTGAATGCTGTCACCCGAGCTAATCCGTGGGGGTTGCCTCCTAGCGCTTGTCGCAACGTGAGAATGCGCGTTTTTCCGTCGTCTGCACCCTCCTCACCTACCCTACTCTCTCGCTGGCGGACCAAAGCGCAATATCGAATGCGCTACGCGATTTGTGCTCTCGAGTTGCCATTGAATTCTCGGTCAATAGCACTTTTACTTACACTTTGAACTTTGGCTTGTTTGGTTTTCTAATTTAGGGTTTCCAGTTCAACATTTATATAGAAGCTCGCTATATAAAACGGAGGGGCACCGGAAGTAATTCAACTGAATCAAAAATTAGCCAGAGAACCCGCGAATTTTTGTGCCCCTTGACGGCCTTAAGTACTTTTTGTGTGTTGTGTAACATTTGGACCTTTTTCCGATTACACTCCTACGAGACAGGCTAGCACAAACAATCTCTGAAATTTAGCTAAGTGGACCGCTGCCGGTTCATTTTTGAATGGAATTCACGTCTCCTTATTTATTTGTTTATTTATTAGTGGCAGAATGAGTGAATCATGGGTGCATTTTTTACAAATCCCTAGCGGGCCCTGTTCCAGTAAGGTGGAGCGTTTTGTTACATAGCACCCAGAGCATTTGAAACCACGACCTTTCTTCACCGCCCCGGGGGGGGGGGGGGCACTACTTGATTGAATGCTGTGGTGGAAATTCTCATCCTTGGTGGCTCACAACTGCTTGTCTTTTATAGTAGCCATCAGCTTTTGTCTGTCTCGTCTGCCCCCTTAGCCCGAGCCTTGGTTAGAAGAAAAGACACAGAGGCGCTGCTGCGAGGTCCGCCTAACTAAGTCTCAGGATGTCGTCATCCGCGAAGCCTTTTCCTTCTTTTTCTTCCTTCCTTCTGTCATCGCTCTTCCTTATTTCCCATCCTCTGAATGCTGGACCAAAAAATGCGATGAAAAAAGCACCTGGACCCTCGCAACAAGAGAGCATAAGGTTGGCAGATACCTTGTAACCTTTCAGCTACATTAGAGTGTCGAGAGTTCTGAGCCACTAGGAAAGTATATTTATCGATCAAGCGCTTTTTGACAGTCACCGAAAACACTGCTGGACGCTCAAAACGCCGATCGAACCCATACTTTCGTGGCCACTTAAAGACACTTTCCGC